TCACTGTATACTCCTCTCGCCAACCATTCCTCGGTATATTATCTTTTATTTTATGGGGCTTTTCATTTTCTTCGTCAGAGATGAAGCAGGTACAAAAAGGCAAAATGCTAACGTTTTGTGACCCATAACTAACATCACCAAGAACATCAAGGAACTGACAAAACTGATGGAAAATTTGAAATATGTTTCCCATTTGTGGTCACAATGTGACCAGAAGGACAAGTGGTTCTTTAACGTGCGCACCTGGCACATGCCTTATCACACGTTTAGATTCTCAAGAGCGACACACGTCCGTTCACAAGAGGTTCAATGTTAATCCTGTGAGGTTTGGTGCAGAATCCACTGACTAAAGTGAGTTCTCTCGCTTGCCCCTTCCGAAGGGGTGGGTCATCTATGCACCCGACCGTGTGCCGCATAGCAAGTGGAAAACTGTTTACTTAGTGCTGAAATGTTTCAGCTGATTAACCGTGCTACAGTATCTAGATAGAGAAGGAAACTCTATCTTCTTCAATATAGGGGCCTCACCATCGTCGGAACAAAGCCTCGGTCGCGGTTATGGTTATAGTGGAATTTCTACCCCCCCCCCTTGAAGAACAATGCCTTCGGTAAATTAAGCCTATAAAGGCACCACCGAACAACGGGCTCTTCTATGATTACCCGCCAGAGGCCGCCTTTTTGGCCACTACGATTTCAATCCCACCGGGAGTGAAACGTGAAGCACTCTTGCGCTACCCGTAGTTCAGTTGGTTATGCAACTTCCCCCTTTTTGCATGAAGGATGTGGTACCCTAACCCTTTTGTGCCACTGACCAAGCGCCCTCTATCCGTCTGCTGACTCTGTACGCATTCGAGGGACTCTCTAGGTGTAGTATTCGCATCATTGCTCTCCTTTCGTCTGATCTTCCATATGCACATGAAGAGTGCTTACGGAGATCATGCGCACAGGGACACACGAATACAGTTTGTGCTTCAGAGCGTTTGCTAAGCTCTCTGGCTACATGTTATGCTTGGAACTACCCTTGCATTCAAGGATTAGGAGAGGTCTGAAGGAAATATGCCGTAGGACCAGTAATGAAAAAAGGAATGCCCGAGAACACCAGGCTCACCTTTTCTGATTGCGTCCCGCACCATATGCATAATGTACCACTCTTGGGCACCGTTATTTCTAAGTATTGTACTCCTCTGGGTGGATGATAGAATCGAAAATGATAACCACTCCGCCTCGAGGGAAAATTCAGAAATTTTGTGCCCGCCCTGTACACATCTTCGGGTTAAACAATGTTCATACTTGCGCCAGCTCCACCCCAGAAGTCCATCCGCCCCGATCTATATTCGCTAAATTGCGATCCTCTTTTTGTTCGGTCTCCGAAAAGGCCTTAACAGAGGCCACCATGAGTAAGCAAGGGGTCGTGGGAACGAGAGAGGTTAAGAGTGATACAACACCGTTCTCCATCCACTACCCCGTATGTATTTGAGGAACTCTGTTGGCGTAGTCTTCTCATCCTAGAAAAATATGAAATTTGGCTATGTTCAGTTTAGTTAGTCGTTGAGTTAAGAACTGACGATCTGAACTGAAGCATACAGACGAAAAACTTACATCCTTACGCCACGGCTTAGCGAGAATGGAAAACATTTAATCACTTTCAAAGTAGACTCGGAGTTCCACAAGGGAGTGTCCTGGGGCCGCTTCTTTTAAACGTATATGTGAATAGCAACCACTCAGAAAATTGTCCAAATTTTTCTTCCCAGTTGGAAAATAACCAACTAATTAGTCAACTTGAATGCTCCTGTTATGTATATTGGCATAGGAACCATTTTCTGGACGGTCCACACAGTCGGAAGGAAAGAGTTCCGAGAGAAGGAAAGCAAGATGTTTCGGCATTGAAGATCGAACCAGAGCATCATAGTTCCAACCAAATGCATCACTCAATGACAGAGCGAGGAAATTTTAACTCCTACTTACACTAGTTCCACTGATCCAACCTCTTCTATAACAGCTGGTCGCAAACTCTAAACGAACCGGTAAAAAATAGCAGTATTTAGATCCTCAAGGGAGTCAACTAATCTTCAGTCGACAGAGTACGTGATTAGTTTAAAAGTTTTAATGATGTTATTCATTAGATTTAAGCATTACTCTGAACTTCAAGCTGGTTACTCCTTGTACCAATAATTATTTAATTATTCATGAATGACCTTTCAAAAAGTGTAAACTGCCAGGGGGAGACCTATTAGATTATGTAAATGAGCGACCAAAAAAATATTTCCATACTTTCCGTATGTTCGGGAGGCCTTTTTAGTCCAGGCTTAAAGGAAGAAGTTAAGAGCGGAAAGTCTCCTAAATTTTACATCACGCAGTGGTAGTTCTCCCAAAGAGGGATACGGTTTAAAATAATGCTTCAATATCAAATAATAAAAATATTGTTATTTATTATTTGGGACGAGGGCGGGGGCTTTGAGGTCGTACGGAAATTGATTGCAGCAGCTGGTTCACGAAGATGCAAATATAACAAACACCAGTCACGCAAAAGTGCAGGACTCCGAAGTCCGATTTTTTACGATAAGCTCAAGTTATATTTATACAAACGGCGTAAATTCTATTTTCCCACGGGGAAAAATTATAAAAATTATTCCTATACTGCGTGCGTTCTAGTTTCTATAAATAGCGTTTTTCCAGACGGTATTACACCCGACGACGGGCTATATATTTCAAGTCGAGGCTAAAGTTAATTAATTTCATCCACTATAGCCTCCCGGATAAAAAACAAAAATGTTAATCCCAAAGACAATAACTTTAAAGTTTAGCTTAGTTAATTTTCTAACACTGCCAGTTCGGACTGTTTAAGGAATAAAAAAAACAAAGTTTTCAACAGCGTTTAACATCATATCGAAAGGGGTTTCACGGAGTTATGCAATATCAGGGAAAGGAATGATTTAAATACCGTATTTAGCCTTTTTTTAAAACCTCTTTGATGTGCGTTTCTCGAAACGCATATTGCAGTTGAATTAACAAAGCAATTGTCCCGTGGGTTGTACGGTTCCTAACCAGACAGGTCAAACGGAATATAATTTTATTATTTATTGGTTTAATTTCTAATTGTACTCAATTTCCAAATGTTGAACCAAATTATTCAACGCTATTTGTACATCTAATTGAAATTTCGCTAATTCATTTTTTAAGCATTCGATTTTACAAAAATTGTCGTATTCATGATAACCTCTATAAATTCTCGCTTTTTCATGCACTTATTTTTCTAGTGAGATTTTCTTTTTTTAGATCTGTGAGGTGTTTGGTCCGCTTATCCTCGCCGTTAGTTAGGGTAGTTTGCCTTCTTCAGGGGTATGAGTGTGCAGCAACCCTCGGGGTGCCGATAATTTTGTTATTATTATAAGTATGTCGGGTTTGAATGATCTTCGAGATAATGAATATGCGGTGGAGTTTCCGATTAATTTGGTCCGCCTATGATAGATCGTTTGGTTTGTTAGGTGCGTTTTGGCAATTTTTCACTTCAAAGGATATAAGCGGGGAGAGGCACCGAATCAAACCCACCACCATCAGTGTAGGGTTTATGTTTTAATGTTAGTTCACCTAATAATTGAAATTTCTTTTTGATATCTGCGGTTTGATGGAACAGGAATTAATTTGGTGCGAATTCTAGCAGTTTTGTTTCGTCAGACGCGTATATAAGGGATTTATGAAAGGAGAGACACCTAATCAAAGCCATCATCATGTATATTTGGATGCAATTTTATTTAACTGAGATCCTTTTTTTTAACATATTGATTAAACATGAGATTTCTGACTTGCGATTTGATGAATATGCTTAGGAGTTTCCGATTAATTTGGCCCGCTTATCTTCACAGTTTTGATTTTCAGGTGTGTTTAGGCTATTTGACTCTTCTAGAGATATAAACAAGGAGAGGCAACAAAACAAACCCACCGCCTCAAACCATTAATCCTGGGTTTTGTGTTATTTTACTTAGTCAAAATGTTTAAACCATTTTATTAAATATGAAATTTGTTGTTTAGATCTGCGAGGTAATGAATATACACATTGTTCCCGATTAACTCGTCCACCTGTGCGTTTTGATAATCTTACACTTACAGGATATATGCAAGGCACCGAATCAAACCCACCAACAATCAGTGCAGGGTTTGGGTGTTAGTTTACCAAATCCTTTAATCCTTGAAATTTCTTGTTGCGATCTGCGGGTTAATGGAATATGAATCTTGATCGTTTTTGATTAATTTGGAGATAATCCTAATTGTTTTACTTCGCCAGACACGTTTGGGTAGTTCCACTCGTTCTGGGATATAAAGAGAATGAAGCATCGAATCAACTGAGGTGATACATGCACAGTAACATAAATTTTTTTATATCTTTAACACATAAAACTATGTCTATGTCATTCCTACGAACATAAGATACGCGCCTAAACAAATTGAAGTAAATTTCTTAACTTACTCTTTTTATGATATTAGTATAGAGTATTACTACAATTACTCTTTACTCCATACTATATTAAATTTGTTCTATTATGCAATTTACTGCCGTAAAAATAAACCAGTTGGCCATATTTTTATTTTTACAATACTGTTTACACTAAAATATGCAGAAAAGGTATAGAGATTTAAAGTAATGGCTCGGTGTCAGTTCTAAAAGGTAGGCATGGGGTTATAGGTGTGGTGTTCGTCTTCTTCCTTCACTCGGCGAATTATGAGGTATAATCGTAAACTACAGGCACTCTCGTAACAAAATCTAGGGCAGAAGATAAAAAACCCTTTTTAACCGCTTGCTAGCACACCCTTCACATCTTTATCGCCGATTTTCAACTGGCTACGGCTCAACGATACAACACTACGTGAAACAGACTCCGTTGAATTATTAATAATCCATTTAAGCCGATAATATGCGTTAATAAATCCCATCTTTATCAATTTTTAGATTTTGCTAATACTGGATTTCCTTACAAGACGTTGATTTCTTTTTTTTTCTTTTACAGGGGATTAACAAAGAGGAAGCGATGGAATGCTTCAGCCACATCTTGGCTCAAACTGCAATTGTTTTGGTCTGTTGCAGCTTCAACACATTAGGTACAGTGCCAATCAAATTGTTAATGCATGAACGTCACACGATTTTGGACGGAATTCTGCTTTTCACCTGTTGAGAGATTGATTTTCAAATTTGTTATGTTCAATTTGTTTCTGGGATAATGCGACAAAGAGAACTTTTTATATGATTTTCCAACATTTTCATACATTTATTGCATACACTACGGTTATTAAGCCTATTATTTTTAACCTTATTTTCAAGCATATTACCTATTTCCAATGTGCCTGCTTTCTTTTCTTTATATTATTTTTAATACAAACAATTTTACAATGTTTGTGAAAGTGAAATTAACATCAGTATTACTTACTGTTGGTTCCACGACTAAAAATCGTTTCAAATTTCGTGTTTTGTGGCAAGTTCAATAAACTCTATTTTCCTAAGCACGAGGGACTTACTTATACTGTGTATGTACGTTAGAAATTAAATATACGTATATTTTATATTTATAAGTATTTATATTTTATGTATATCAAAGGCTAACAATAATCCTGCTCGTGACACTGACGTTTTTATCTCTACCAAGACCTTACATAGAAAGAATAATTAATTGAAAGAAATAACTTGGTCAATTGACCGCTAAAACGTAAATGAATTAATATTTAATAAAAAAAAGAAGTATCACTTCACTAACAGCCCCCCGTGGCCACTTCATATGACGCCGAGGATCGAATCCTTATTACACGACATTTGAAAATGGCAAAAAAGAGGGAAAATTCGAACGGTTGTAGGTTGAGATGGAGAGTTGGTGTCCGAGAGATCCAATTCACGATAGCACAAGTGATAGAGCAGCAGCATATTGAGCCGAAGGTCGTGGGTTCGAATCCCGCTCGTGACACTGACTTTTTATCTCAACCAAGACCTTACATAAAAAAAAGAATAATTAATTGAAAGAAGAAACTTGATCAATTGACCATTAAAACGAAAATGAGCTTGTTAATTATGTCTATAACAATTATGTTGGAATTAATTTTTGTTGCATAAACATGTTAAAAATTAATTAATCAAGGCAGGCGCATTCAAAAGGATGTCAATAAATGATAATGTGATTGAATAGTCTTGTTTGTGAATAAACTCTTAAAAGTGTTTCATTTTCACTTTTGCGCATTACAACTACTGTAGACATAAAATAGTTAAGATTTTGAAATGAGATAACAATAATAATATTGCAATTAAACGGTAAAGGCTCATTAAAAGTTTCAACGGTACGGCGCTAATCTGAGAGAAATACATATTATTTATCATGGGGATCATCATAGGGAACAAGCTCGTTTCAGATAGGTGCAAGCCCAATAAATCTGGCGAAGGTAATGTCTTTTATCATTGTTATGTAAACGAACGAAATTTACATTCTTATTACAATTCGCAGATGGCTAGCAGAGAACACAAGGAAAAATTTCATGAAGTGCTATACCCTATTTTATAATGTATGCAGTTCCCCATTTTTTTTCTTTTTTTTTTGGTCGATACGTATTAAAAAAGGTTAAACGAGAAACAGGAAGTTTATCACGGGCGTGGAAAAACGTTTTTAGGCAGGAAAAAGTCCTCTTTCCCATGCTTAAAAAAAAAAAAAAAAAAAAACCGCTAAACTCTCCTCTCACTGTTACCACATTCAAGGGTTGATAAATTTTTTTTTCACATAATAGAAAATCGTAATCATGGGATGTCACGAAAGGGGGAGGTTATTCGGAATGTATTTTATTGCTACAAACGATAGAAATTATTTTTTTGCCAGTTTCCCAACACATATGAAATGAGGTCGAGGAGCACTGGCAGGTTTTTGCCTTTTGACTTACGTTTTAATGATTTACACACATTTGCTAATGCATAAAACAACATCCATATCGCATTGGAAATACATTCCCAGTCGTCGTTTGAAAGCACCCCAGCTGACCTTTATCAAACCAAATCCAAAAGAGAAGTCAGTAAATAAAGTCATACAAAAATAAAATAAATAAATAAAAAATAAAAGCCCACAAACAATCCCCAACTAAGTTTTTCGTCTAAATCTTTTGTAATTAGCATTATTTCAATCAATTAAGGTTTTTAGTAGAGATAAAAATGTCGGTGTCACGAGCGGGATTCGAACCCAAGATCTTCGGCTAGATACGCCGCTGCTCTACCACTTGAGCTAACGTGAGCTTGGTGTCCGAGTGGATCGAAGTAAAGATAGCTGAAGTGGTAGATAAAGATAGTAGTGGCAGCGGCGTATCTAGCCGAAGATCGTCGGTTCGAATCCCGCTCGGGACACTGACTTTTTTCTCAACTAAAAACCTTAATTAATTGAATTATATTAATTGGTCAAGCGGACCGCTAAAACTAGCGAATTTAATCAGCATTATTATCGCCACTGTGCTTTCCGTTTCTATAAAATATACTTAAGTCTGTCTTAATTTGAATAAAATTACTTAACATAACTTCGATAAATATAATACGAGAAATTTAAAAATAAACGCGATCGGTGAAGTAAAAAACATCAGCCGGTATATCATAAATAAGTTATAAATGGAGTGATGACCATTCGTCAGCCAGACGGTCCATCTATTGATTTCATCATCCCTTAATGAAGCCGGCAACGAATGATACTTGTTTACTAAAAACCCCTCATAAGTTCTATTTAGCCCAAATCCTCAATCGCTAACGGATTCGACATACCTTTAGCAAGCTCCAGGGTTAATGAGAACAAGTGGCATTGAGCCCAAAAAACCTAAAGGAGTTGATAGTATCATAGTTGTGGACATAAAAAACCATGCCAACCTATCCACAATCATCTTTCAGTACATCCGCCCAATAATTAAAACGGGAATTTACCCAGAATGTTAAAAAATTTGGTAATAAAATCTACACTGTATGAAAGGACATAGGACGAAGTACAACAGCTACTGGTCAGTTTCAATTATTTATATAATCAACACAATAATACAAAAAGACCCATGGCAATATGGTTTTCTAAAAAGAAAAAGGCAGAAAACCACTAATTCAACTCACAAGCTTGAAAGTTTTTTGCTTACAAATTTTTATGAATCAAATATTACCTTTAGAAATGGGGAAAATATCTGAATATGGCAAATTGTCAATTTTTAATCTACTCCTTGCCAGTGAACCAATATTAAAGACGTTTAATTTTTAATTTTTTTTTCAAGAACGAGAAACTGAAAAAAGTTAATAATTTTCAGACGATAAAAAAGAAAAGTGTTTTTCCTTTAATTCATTTGGGAAAAACACATCCTCATTTATTATAAGAAGTTTTGTCATAAACTTGAATTTAGGAGATTAACGGACAAGGTAAAAACTCGCCAAAAATTCAACACTGTCACTAATTTGATTGTACAAGAAAATCGTCTCGCACCCCATGCAATCAGGATCTTGAAGGACTGACTTGGTTTCTCTTTGTTTCTCTCACTTCTCCTTCGGAAACCAAAAGGGGCAAACGTTGTTAATTTAAAGAAAATAGCGGTTTGTTTTCGGAAATGGGATTAGGTTCACAAAGAGAACGATGAGGCACGCCCACAGCCCCCTAAAAGTTTTATGAGCTCAACTTTTCTCCACCCATGATTTCAAAGTTTCAAAGTGTGGTTTACTGGCAATTATTTATTTATCAGGTTGTTTTTGGTTTTCCTCCCTTCCGTTCATTAGTTTCAGGATCGATTCGGTCGTTAAAGGCTTTATATTTTACTTTTAACTATTTGTACATATACATCCTCCGGTTCATCTACTGGCCTCGTTCAATTTCAAATCATCAAAATATCTAACCATATCGGCCCAGAAAAAAATATTATAAACTTTTAAAATTAAATTTAAAAAAAATTTGAAATCATTTCTGCAGATAAACGAGAAAATTTAATATTGCACATAAAACCGAACAACCCTCGAACAAAAAATGATACCAAAAAGAAAAAGCTCAAATAAATTTACATTTTCTGATAATTGAGACGAAATAGGAATCATCATTATAATTATCAATGGAGGCACAGCTCACTAATGGGTCTCGACGTCTTCAAGCAGAAATATCCGCCAGTTTTCATTGTCATTTGTTTACCTTCCCTTTCTTTCTTCTCCTTATGCAATTTATTTTCTTTGATTTAGACAAGTGAGTTCGTTTGATTGTTTATAGGTTTAGTTTTGCAGTTGTGTTAACGTCGTACAATCGTCGTCAAACCATTCAACACTACTCACACTCCTAAGTCCATATCAAAGCCACTTCAGCAGTCTGCTTAATGGCACTTGTGTAAACCCGCCCAAACTTATTTATAAGATTATCCGCTATTCTTTCAAAATAGATTAATTTATTTTATGATGTTTTAACCACAAAATTCAGACATTCATTACAAATGTTGTTGAAATATTATCGTTCTTTCGTGTAGAGAAATTGCCCAGTAATAAAAATTTGAAATGAAATTAGAACTCGCACTACACCCTACCAATAAATTCCAATTCAGTTAACTATTTTACTGCTGCTTATTTAGACATAAACATAAAAAGCATTGAATAATTTAATCAAACAACAATCTTAGGTTGAAGTTTGTAATTATTAGACTTATTATTATTTAATATTATTACAATCGTGAAAGGAAGGGGTTGCTTAACTCCGCCACGAGGAATATCGAGTACTCGGGGGGGTGAGTGTGTGAACATGAATACTCTTATTTGAGTGAATGGAATACATATGATCAAAAGGTATTTTAGTGTGAGTACGATTTGGTTTAAAACTGCATGCGTTGGGGGCTGGAAATGACCTAATTGTTAATAGCCAGTGGGCACGACGGACAAGACCGAGGTCTGACCGCGAACTGTCAACAACATAGGAGATTGGCCGCCAAGCCTTGAGAAGTCTAATTCCAATTCCAATTGCAAATATTAATTCCGGAAATACAACCATCAGGATTTTAAATGGATTAACTGTTGGGACAGAGGCTTTCCTTCGATCCCATCGCCCAATATTTTGTGGCTTTGCAAAGAGCCAAACACTATACTTTTACTTCAT